AGTTAAAAAAAAATAGAACCCGTACCCGTAACTGCTCTACCCGTACCCAACCTTCGGGTCGGGTCGGGTTGCACATCTCTACTGAGAATAAAAGAAATTGCCTTATTTATATTTCACATTGTTGTTAGAATTATTTATTAAATTTATTTCGGAAGCTGTACGTTTGTCTCGCCAAGATTAGGGTGAAAACTTTGAGGTTGATCTTCTATTGAGGTCAACTTTTTCCTGTACTAGCTTGTAACTCACCAATCTTAACCTGGTCTTCTAATAGTGGATAGTCTTCTGTTACGTTCAGCGGTTTACGTCTAAAGGGTATTAGGCTTATCAATACCATTTTGGAAGCATCTTGTAAAGCAGACGATTCTCTAGAAAAAAATGTACTACTTTACATTCAAAAAAATCGATGTAGAGTGTCCAAAATGGAGTCACACTAACGAGCAATGGCAAAAATGAGTGAAAATTGTCCAGTGCGTTCTACTGTTTGTTATCATAACGATGTTTTGAGTTAAAACAAACAGTATATTCATAGTTAACATGAAAAAACGGAGTAAAAGACCTGGTTTTACAACACTCTACCAAGGATGAAGTTTTCGCGCCTTTTGAATCCGTGACACGACATTACCGCGAACGACATTATCGCGAGACGTTACCGCGAACGACATTACCGCGAATACAAAAAACGACATTACAGTGAACGACGTTACCGCGAAGACTCGTTTATTGGAAAAGAAGAATAAATGAGCCTGGTTTTGTACTTTGTATATCATGTGGAGGGAGGTGGGGAGAGGGCATTGTGAGAGTGAGTTCGAAAAGTATTTTCACATAAAACATATTATCGTAATGGGAAACTAGATATCTGTGGCTGTATCAGATAATGACTAGTCACCACATAACGTCAGTTAAGTTTGAAAACATGATGTACAAAATACAAAACCGGCCTCATTTATTCGGCTTTTCCAACAAACAAGTCTTCGCGGTAATGTCGTTCTCTGTATTCGTGGTAATGTCATTTTTTTTGTTCGCGGTAATGTCGTTCGCTGTAATGTCGCTGTATCTTTTGAATCCCTCAGGCGCAGAACGAGGCTAGAGGGAGTCTAACTAACGTTTTTGATGGAACTATTTTCGTTTCAGTAACCAGTTTTTTATGCTGACCATGAATATGCTGTTTGTTTTGAGTGAAAACACTGTGGTGACAGCGAATAGTTGAATGCATTAGACAACTCTCATTGATCTCTGCACACTATTGTCAGCGACAGAGAGTATACGATCTATGCATAATGTAATAACGACTAAAGATCTAATGAAAGAAAAATTGAGAAAATTAACATACCTGATGGAGAAAACAACGTCGATGCACGTATATATAGCCATATTAGCATTAGACTGAGCCTGTAATTATTATTTCTTCTCCTTTATATTACGTGATAGCGTCATTTTATTAAAGTTGTACTTTTAGTCCAGTACAACTTTTGTTTGTAAAATTAGGCAGTTCAATCTTAAAAAATGGATGTATTGCATTCACAAATAATTGTGAATCACATTCCTGAGAAGTGAACAGTCTTCATCAAAACTTATATCTCATGGTGTAATACTTTGTAAAGAGAATAATGCCAACACAAATATGTAAGTTAATTGTTTGTAAACTTTATTAAATCTTATTTTCAGCAAATACAGAAAATAAGTCACAGCATAATTTAATCAGTGGAGAAATAGCTGCTCAACCGAAACTATAGGTATTTTGATCTCACTGAGTGATTAAGAAAACCAAAAACATAGTTATGATCAATTTTCGGTAACGTCAGCTATACCGTTCTGAGAACTACAACACTTTAGTTTCAGACTTACGCATTCATGAGATAGTTTTTCTTCGTATTGATATACAGTCTTACTCTCTAGAATAAAAAACGTAAAGGTATCGTTGAGATCAAAACTTGGCCATAGAAATGCTTACTTCATTTTTTCATTCAAATCCTGAATAACATTTTGAACTTGAATGATAGCCTTATGGCCAGGCTTAAAAATCATTATTCGGATCTTTAGTGCATGTTCCAAGTTTTCTAATGCTAACTTTAGATTCTTCATGTTCTTGTAAACCAATCCAGTCCTATAATAGCACCACGCTGTATCTTTGTGCATCTCTGGAAAACAGTGTTGCTGTAAAACGAGTTCAGTTTGATAATTCTTCAGTGCTAATGTGTACTGCCTTTGATCACTGAAGACATCGCCAATTCAACGGTACGTCTTAACAATTTCTGCGCTATAGTGCGGCACTTTCTTTTGTCTTATTTGAAGAGATAGATTCAAATTTTGGAGTGCCATGTCAAACTTTTTCATTTTTCTGAAAGTGTTGCGCATGTTTTGAAAAGTAATTGCTAATTTTAGATGATCATCACCATAGAAGCTGAGCTTTCTCTCCAAGGAGGTATTATAAAATTTCAAGGCAAGTACGAAGTTGTGCATTTTCTCATATGCAAGTCCAATATTGTTTCTCACTTTGAAATTTAGAAAACGAACTGGACATAAATCGATGAAAAAACCGGGCACATTTCTTTTTCGGGGCACAAAAGTGTGAAAACACTTATCTATACCACGGACCGTGCACTGATCAGTGACATGGGGCTTGAATAAATGAGAAAGCCGGGTTCTGACCCTGACTTATCTCGATTTATGATGAGTGCAATGTACAAACATGTAAGGAACTTGAGTAGTAGTAGTAGTAGTAGTAGTAGTAGTAGGAGTAGTAGTGACCACAACTAGAATAAATACACTGGCAGTTCAAGTCACTTGAGGGTTTGAGATATTATTCGTTACTATGAGTCATGTGACAGTTAAAAAATAGTCCGCATTTCAAAAGTGACGATGATAATTGAAAAAGAACACAAAACAAAGTCATGTTTTTTTCATTTGTGCGCTTCTGGCGTTTAAAAGTTTTGTGTTTACCGAAACTAAAACACGTTTTCTTCCGAAAGATAAAATTTTTGCAGCACATCAAGGACATAAAAATTCACCAAGAGAAAAAAACACGCTTTTCGTTTTTTTAATGTTTATATGTAACAGAGAATACGTTCGACAAGCAAGCTTTGCTGTTCATAGTTAACTACTCTAAAGGAGTATCGTAGTGTATGGGTCTGTACTCCTGCATTCTAAAAAATGCTCGTTTGTAGATATATACGATGTCTCAGCAATGTGAAATAGAATCATGTAAGAAACAATCATCGGCATTGTGTCATCATTGTAAAAAGAATGTTTGCTTGAAACATCTTAATGAACATGCTGAAACAATCAACAAAGAATTATACCCATTAGCCGATCAAGTTAACAACTTACTCGATAAGCTAAGTCAGCTGACTCCAGAATATGTAAAAGAACAGTCGAGTGAACAACTAGAGAAATGGCGCCGAGACTGTTATCGATTGATTGATCAATTATACGAAGAAAAACTCCAGGAGATCGAAAAGATAGTTCAACAAAACTTTGCTAAAAGCAAAAATGAACAACTTAAAGTAATAAGAAATCTTCAAAATGAAATCGGGGAATTAATTCGGGACAAGGATGCAACATACAATCAAATAGAACAGATGACGGATACAATGAAAGATGCAGAAAGAAATTTAGTTGATCTTCAGTCAAAATTCATGAGAATTCAAGCACAACCCCTGAATATTAGCAAAGATTCAGTCCGAATATTATCAAATATGGTTTCTGGTATATCGTTTGATATCTCAAAACTAGGAATACCGATCAAAACAATAAATTTTCAAGGTACTTGGTATACCCCGATAGCCACGAATAATAAGTACATAGTAGTACAGCACCAGTCAGACCTATGTTTATACGATCTGCAATTAAATTTAGTAAATAAAATGCAATGGAAATATGGCCAGGTAACTGACATATGCTATCAATCGATGATCAACGCATTTTTTATTTTAACGAAGGACAGTTTATATACCTTTGATACAATAAAGATGGACATAAAAAACACGGTTATAACTGTAAAAACATACCATGACTTCTGTTGTATTTCATGTAATGATGCAGCTTTATATCTTTGTTATAGAAAATATGGTACACCCATTGAAGTATATGATACTCGATCAGTTAAATTGTTAGAACAGTGGAGTCCACCCCAATCATGCGCAAAAGATGAATGGCTCGATAAAATGCAGTGTACTAATGTTAATCTATGTTTAATAATTTATAACAAAACAAGACAAGATTATCGTCTAGAATTAAGACATTTAACCGTAATGAATCTGTTGTGGACACTAAATCTTACTATAAAAAGTACAGCATATCAATGCGGCTTATGCGTTTTACCCCGAAACGAATGGCTTTTATTAGACCCAAACGGGTCGAATTTGCTACAAGTTACGTCGGATGGAAAATTAAAAGAAACAGTACGTTTGGAAGACAAGCCATACTATGCTATTCTGATTGGTAACAACTGCGCTGTTATGAGTAATAAATCAGGAATAACGCTGCATAATTATTGAAGATATGAACGTTGTGATCATTATAAAATCAAGAACAAACATAATGCCCTCATGTTGAATGAAAAATAAAGTTGTCCTTCATCCATCGTGTGATCCTCGATGTCTTGTTAGCAGAGTCTTTTGATGACATACAGAGACTTCAAAGTACTGACGACTTCGCACTAGTAAAATCCAGTAAACAGTTTTACTTGGACAAAACTCGATTCACAGAATACAATCAATCTCGCTGAGAATAAATTGAGCAACTGGTCAGTGAATACAATTATAATCTAACGAGGGAACTATCCCACTCCATATTTTGATCGTAGATAGACCTTGTTGAGACTAAGAAAATTCTAAAAGCGTTCGTACCCATGGCTCCTGAAGACCCGGTTTTCTGGAAAATCAGTTTTTCAGAAACTCTAAAAAATAACCCAAATCCTTTTAATGAGGCCTAATTGTAGCCCGTAAATTTTTGATTAAAATGAGACCCCTCCCAGCTCTACACGATCTTCCTTTGCAAAGTTATAGAATTTACAAGAAAAGCCCTAAATGTTCATTGTCAGCTCAAAGCTACAGAAATAAGAAATTAATTTAGGGCTTTACTTGCAAATTCTACAACTTTGCAAAGAAAGGTCGTGTAGAGTTGGGAGATGTCTCGTTTTAATCAGAAATTTACGGGCTACAATTAGGCCTCATTAAAAGGGTTTGGATTATTTTTTAGAGTTTCTGAAAAACGGATTTTCCAGAAAACCGGGTCTTCAAGAGCCATGGGTACGAACGCTTTTAGAGTTTTCTTAGTCTCAACAAGGTTTATCTATGACCAAAATAGGGAGTCGAAAGCGCTGGATCATTTGGGGTAGTTCCCTCGTAAGATTTAGAAAAAGTAGAACTATCTCGGTGAATGTGGATTTCGTTAGTACATGTTGCATTCAGTTGCTCTCTGTTTTTTTCCAACATAATTTTCTATAGTTTGTCGTTGCCTTAATTGTTGCTTGCTTCAGTTTTTTCAGAATGTTTATGAACAAGAGTACTATTGCCTTGCACAATGATAACGTCTCTATGGGACAGATTGTGTAATTAAAATTCCGTGTGTTTGAATGGACTGGATCGATTTAATCTAAGCAAAATAGCTTGTCGACCCGAATTACTCCAGATGGGAGAAATCGGGTCAGTTTAGAGGCCCCTGTCTCCTTCTGAATACTCCTCAGAAACGGACAGGAACCTTTACGATATTTTTACGTCAACAGAAAGAGAAATATTAGTTGCACTTTCTATCAGAGCTGATCACCTGCATAATTTTTCACACTGCGCAGGTTAGCAAAAAAATATTTTGTTCTGCACAGGCAGAGGTTGAGGGTGTAAACTTCTGCACTGTCCTGCCCTGCAGGTTGACTGACTACAGGTGGATCCTAAGGCGAGGTATAACAATTTGATTTCCTACCGACCACTATCAGTCTGTATTACACACTGATAATTATAGACTGTATCACCAGTTACGATTCACTATCCTTGTTCTATATTTTTCTCTTTCTGTTATCGTTGTAGTCTTTTGTCATCTTGTATATACTAGAGCCTTAGCGTACAGCACATTTTAATGCGGTGCATGTGTCGACATTCAGACGCATTTTTTATGATAGAATGAAAAAACAGAAACGTTTCGCTTATTTGCGTGGCGATGAATTATTATCCTGCCTATAAAAGACAAACGGGTCAAAAAGGTGAACAAAATGTGCGTTATCTTTATCTTTCTCGTCTCATGGTCACGGTATATTCATTCCAAACGGAATTCTATTTTTCTAAAGACTGAACTGAATCCACAAAACACCGCCACGCATATGAAGGGATTGTCTGATGCAATGAAAATCCTTTCACACATTCCACAATCCCGCTTTGTTTCTCTAAACAAGAAGAAATTGTACAACGATCGGTTAAAATATTTTATTTTATGTGAGTGAAAACAAAAGTTTCTCATACATCATTTCAATAGAACACGAAGAAACTGCGAGAAAAAAATCCTTTTCATTCCTTCCACATAGGAATGCAGTTAAGTTGTTCATTTTTGCTTTTAGCAAAGTTTTGTTGAACTATCTTTTCGATCTCCTGGAGTTTTTCTTCGTATAAGGATGAATGCAGGTGAAATCTTCTCCCCTGCAGGGAGTGCAGAAAGGAAAATATTTTTCTTTATATGCCGGCCGTCAGTGGAAAATTTTTTCATTCACCTGCAAACTGCAACCTGCCTGCAGCTTGCAGGCAGTTTAAGATGCAGGTGATCAGCTCTGCTTCCTATTCAATAGCACGCTTGTTAGATCAAAAACAGCTTAGAAATATGCTAAATACTAAGAAACTTGATTGAAATATAACATGCATTAGGGAAACATTTGAATGCATAGAGTGCAGCGCACATCAATACATTCAATAGATTTTTGCTGTTATTTTCATTGCGAACGTACAACCTTATGTCTCTGAGAAAATTGATCTCAAGACTTTATTTGAAACTCCTATGTAAGAATTCTTTTTATCTTTCTAATTAATTTTCTAAGGTACTTTGAAAGATGTTCCATCTTATAGAGAAAAGTCTGCTCTACCGTTTTGCATAGTCACAAAATTCTTTAAGTTCAGCAACAATCCAAATGAGCCTCAAGAAAGCTAAGGACGTTGACTACCCACTGAAAAAAATCTCGTAAGCTTTGCGATAACTTACAAGGAAAAGCAAAACCTTGCAAGACTCTTCCAAAACACGCGAGAAAAACAGGAATTTTTCTAGTAGCATCTCATAAACAGTTATCGATAACTCTTCCAGTTACTGTACGTAATTGAGAAATGATTTGTTTTTCGTTTCAGATATATTAAAATATGACTGAATAAAACAACATATTGTTCATAGACATGTTGTTTTGTTTAGTACAATTTGCTTCAACGGATATAATTGCTATTAGAAACGCTGCATATGAATGCCAAAAAATCAGCAACCATGAAGCAATTTATAATAAAATCACACATCTGACGCAAACTTCCTGTATGTCTCAGCAAAAGAAATCAGTAGGTGAAGACATATGTGCTGATAGTGAGCTGATGTTACTTTAAATATCGGAAGTTCGATATAATAAACGATTTTTGAATAAAATCTAAGCAATCATGTATTTTGCAGCAGTAATATACTTTCTTTTTTCATGTTGAGAACTAAAACGATTTTCAAAAACTTGGTCCTTGTCTTTCAGAAAACGTTTTAAGGCTGCTTTAATGTTCAGAATGTTTTCCTATCTTTTTCTTGTTAAGTTACCATTATCTAACGCGTTATTTTTCTATTCATCACAAGAAGCTTTTATAAGAATATCTCTAAAATCTTGGATCAAAACCGTCCGCCCGATCGAAGTATACTATCTCAATGCTCTTGCTGAAATTTTATTTTCAGTTAATTTTTGTGTTAAAAATAATAGCAAATGCTTTCGACTAATATTGGAATGCGAAGAAAAATATGTCTGTTCGAACTTTGATCTTAATATATTGACTTAGCGCTGACCTAACATGTTATGAATGCCAATAATTCGACCAAAAACTACAGCCTCCTGGAGCTCATATTTGCTTTGAGTTATTCATCAAAGAGAAGCATAGCTGCTACATAATTGGACAGTGATTTCTCGTTGAATTATTCATTCTTTAGCTGAAGGCTTCTTTTGGACGGCTACTGGGAACAATCTCTCTTGGACATAGAATAAATGAATATTTCGTTTCAGACATAAACCTTTTTCCAAAAATAAAAGTGGTATCCTTGAAGTTTGAAGATGAATTATAGTATGAAGGAGAGAAAAGGAAAAATTATATATTAAACTCTCACTGATATAGAGTATGTAGTTTCCGACGTTGCACAGTTGTGAGACATTAACAATGAGTAATTTGTTTTCTTTATATTTTATTAACCTGATCGGTTTCGAATTCTTCTTCAGAGGTTAATATAAAACTGCATTTTATGTGTCTTGACCAGACAAGAAATGCAAATATGTTCTCATTTCTAGAATCCTCGCTTCCCTCCAAGTTGCATATCCTTCTACTGGAAGTTTAGACTGTTTAATAAGATTAAGAGCTTTTTATGTTAGTTTTCTTCTATCAGTAAGAAACTCGCTCGTTAAAGGGCGAACATTCATTTAGCATCTACCTTAAAAAGTACACGAGGACGGCATTTTCAGTCGTTGGCTCGTACCATGTAGACTACAAGAGACTAATTTTCACCGGAATTAAAAACAAGCGAATCAGCTACAGAACTACGTATTGCTGATTAAATAATTGGTTATTTGAACTGAAGATTTTCCCACAAAACGAAAGCGATCAGCATACGGTTCTGTGATAAAAACTATAACCTCGAATCAAAATAGTACACATTTTCTAAATTACACATGTATGTATTTAATAGTATGCTGTTACGAACAAGATGACTGTGTTAAACTTTTTACAATGTCGGATTGTTGATCAAGATTAAGATCAAAATTTATTAATAGAACTAATTTATAAATAGAAATTACCTTTTCACTTCAAAGAAATTTGAAACTACAAATTGATTTAAACTGATTTTAAATACCAACTTAACGTATATTATTTTTCTTTAAACCAATCTAAATGGATTTGTTGATCGAAATTAATTTAAATCAATTTTCAATCAAAAATTCATTCCAACCGATTTAACGACAAGCTGATATTGAAAATCAGTTTAAATCAATTTGTAGTTTCAAATTTCTTTGAAGTGCTTTAAACAAAATTAATTTCTATTAATTTCTGTTCGTAAATTAAATTAAATCAATGTGTAATAGCTAATTCATTTAAATTGATTAAGAAAACATTTGCTAAAATTAATTTCAAATCCATAGTTAATTTGAACAAATTTCTGAAAACCTTAAAAACCATAAATACCATTAATACCATAAAAACCAGTAATACTGTATATACCATGAATAACTACAATAACATAAAGTTGGATTGGATGCTTGTTGCTTGGAGTTGCTGCAATTGCAATCTTTCCACGACAA